GGGGTGTCCCAGGCCGCTGACTCAGGACTGGGTTGAGGTGGTGAGGGGCGCGGGGTGCCCATGCCTTGCCTGTGGATCTCCCAGGGAAGGGGGTGGGGTCATCTCCTGAGGCCTGGGGCTGGGGCCCGAGGTGAGCAGGTGGGCACACGGGTAGGCAGCTGAAGGAAGTGTGGAGAGAGCCCACCCCGGGAGCTGCCAGAGCAGCTCGGGCTTCTGGTGTTATTGCCTCTGTCCACGCCTCGCCGTCTAGCAGCTCCCTTCTTGAGGGGTTCCAGTTCTGTCCTGGCCAGAGTCCACTTTCACTGGATGGTCCTGCACCCCGTCAGCCCCATCACTATCTCCCCAAAACTGGCCCCCTTGTTTTCCTTTTCACTGCCCTGCTCCCGCACAGCTCCCTCAAGCTGGATGCCCACGGGGCACTTGGCTGTGATAGCATTTCGTCAGCCCAAGTAGCCTGTAACAGGATTTTCCCAGTTCCTGGTTTGGAAAAGAAGGATGGCGAGAAAGGAGGCCTTGAACCCAAGTCACACACAGCACTTGTGGCGGGGAGGGCTCAGGTTCAAGGCCAGGTGTGCCTGACTCCGTCTGAGCCCCAGCAGAAAGGAAAGCCCTGGCAGCACGGTGGGATCCCCAGAAAAGCTGTTCTAAACACTCGCACAGGACCCCCAAGTCAGGTACTTTGAGACCCTGCCCCAGAAAGGCCCGATGGCGAGGCCCCCCTGCGCCAGCTCTATGCCTGCGCACAGCACAGGTGAGCACCAAGTCCGCCTGGAGTGACGGGGGGTGAGAGCTCGGCACCTCCCGCCGAGGAACCGGGGTCCTTCCACCACGCTGACCCGAGCCTGGAGTCCCTGGCCCCAGGGGCTGGCGAGTGGCCCCTCGGCTGGGCCCGTCGGTCAGCCTGTCGTCCTAACGCCTCAGCACCTGCTTCGGCGCAGGGCAGGGTACAGCCCGGAGCGGGAGGGAAGTCCCAACTGCCCCTCCTCCCACACTCAGGGATTCAGTTCTGAGCAGCGAGGGTCCTCCCAGTGTGCTCCTCGCGGGGCGAGGCAACAGCATCCCTCCTGCTCCCCAGCCGCCCTGGACCCTCCCCTCTCCCGGTCTGGATCCCCCACCCATGGGCACCTCACTCCCCTGCTACCCTTCACCCCACGCCGGGACCCCCTTCGACGCTGGACGCCTCTGGCCAAGCATCTTCCCGGAAGCCATTCTCGCCTGGCTTCTGCCCCCTTCAGGGCTCGCGTGTCCTGATGCCCAGCTCAGCCACGAAGGTGCCACAACAGCCAGCGCCCCACCCCCACCCCCGGCCCACGGTGACGGGGCAGCAGTCTGCGCGCCCCGGCCGGCCCCGACGGCCTCACCTGTAGTATCGGGACTGCAAGTAGGTGGAACACACGGCCTTGGACACGTGGCTGGCGGACCCGAAGTCGATGACCTTGACGCGGTAGGGCTGCCGGGAGGGGTCCACCAGCATGATGTTCTCTGGCTTGAGGTCGGCGTGGATGAGCCCCAGGCTCTTGAGTTTCATCAGGGCCGTGGCGACCTGCTGGAGCACGGGGCGGATGTACTTGAGGGGCAGGGGGCTGAACTTGTTCTGCTTCAGGAAGTCGTAGAGGTTCTGCTCCAACATCTCAAACACCAAGCACGTGTGGTTCTTGTGCTGGAAGCACTCGTAGGCCCGCACGAAGTTGTAGTCGTCGGCGCTCTCCGTGCTCAGCCGGGCCAGGATGCTCACTTCGATCTGGCCCTGCCGGGCGTACGACGGGTGGTTCTTGAGGATCTTGATGGCCACGATCTCGTTGGTGCCCCGCTTCCAGCACTTGACCACCTGCCCGAACGTCCCCCGGCCCAGGAACTCGAGGACCTCGTACGTGTTGGTCATGGAGCACAGCACCTCGTGCTGGACCAGCTGGTAGTCGCCCTCGCTGTTGGAGCCGCTGTTCTTGGAGGTGGCAGCGGAGGTGGTGGCCGTGGCGACCGTGGCCCCGCTGGCATTGTTCTGGATCATGGGTGGGTGCTCTTCGATGATCTGCACGCTGCTCGTGTTCTCGATCTCCTCACTCTTGCGCTTGAGTCCGCATTTTTGGTAGGTGTCCAGTAGGCTCACGGTGCTGCGACGCATCAGGTTGTGTGGTCCGCCCAGGGCCTGCCCGGCGGCGGAGGTGCTGCTGGCTGACGTGACGACGACGTGCCCAGTGCTGCCTGGGAAGATGATGGTCTGCTCGTAAGGTAGGCCCGGGTTTGGGAGCGGCAAGGAGGTGCTGACGGTTGTGGTGGCTGGCTGAGGCGGCGGGACGTTCTTGCTCTGGCTGTAGGCTTTGCTGTGCGAGCCGTACCCAGTCATGTCCCAGTTGGAACTCGGCTCTACTTTCAGTTTCTTCACACTACAGAAGGCACTTGATTGAAGGGTGTGAGGGGAGAAAACTTGCACATGCGAGGCCATACCTGCGAGCGGAGGGAGGGCAAAGAGGTGTGTTAGTCGTGTGGCCCGCACACACCCCACACGACCTGTGCGGCTCCCGGACCGACGGGCGCGTCGGTCACCTCTGACATTTTCCGCCTGCTCCCAGACAGGCTGGACGTTGAGTCCAGGTCACCCGGAAGCGCCTTCTGGTCACCAGGGCGTGGGCTCGGTGACCCACTGGCCACTGGGAGAGGGTGGGAGGCTTGCTGGGCAGAAACTGGGGGCCCGCCAAGACCTGGGCACACAATCAGACTACCCCGGCGTTGGCACTGTTTTAAATAAGTACGCTCGGAGCTAGGGCTGGGTTCTTCCTCAGTGCTCCCCGGCTTGTGATCCTACTGAAACCAAAGACCGGAGCATGGGGCCCCGTTAAGGGCTCAGCACGTGGCAGCCCCTCATGATCAGCTGCCCCGTGGCAGAGACCCCGACTGTGCGGTTCACGTGTGGGGCAACTTCTCCCCTTAGGTCCCATTATGGAGCCATTTGTGAGCTGGTAGCTTTTGGGGGACCCTCAGCACCCCTGGCATCTTCATCACCTTTAATGAGTCTTGTACGTTTGTGTGGATTAGCAGCCGGTCTGAGTTTTCATTTAGCTGGTCTGAAACAATTTTTTCAGCCTTTTGGGGGCAGAGGCTGGGTACCACAGTTCACGAGTTCCATTCATTTACTTGGACGGCTAAATTCGCACATCAATCAATTTGCCTCGAAAGAACTGTTACTTCATACCAATATCTCACCCACCATTAGATAACCTCAGACATCTGTGAAGCCCCAGCTCTCGAGTAATTATATCACTTAGAATCATGTGGATACTGGAAACAAACCAACAAAAATCACAGATAATGGAATAAGGAAACATGTAAGACCAGGATGAGTCCTTAAGGGTGAACCCCGCCCCACCCCCATCTTCTCAACAGCAGCTAGGAAACAAAGTGGGGTTCTGGGGGCACCTCTGTGCTCAGCCAGTCTAAGGGTCGTGTCTCTGGCTCTAGGGTTCCGAGAGGCTTGCCTGTCACTTTCCTTTCACCCCAGCAATGTGACCTAGGCCCACCCTCTCAGCAGATGACCCACCTTCCTATCCACACGTCTGAGGTCAGCAGCCTCGTTCTCCACATTCTTTACTCTTTCTTAAAGCATTCCAGAACTGACACCCACCCCACATCCTCTCTTCTCTCCAGTTGCTCCCCTTCCCACTCAAGGTTCCTCCATTTTGTGAGTTCTCCTCTCCCATCTCCTCCGCTGTCCTCTCTTACAACTTTCCATTTCTCTCTGATAATTGGATCCAGATCTTTAGTAGACTTCCAAATGAACCAATGACTTAGTCTTTGTCTTCTGCCTCTATGTGTGTTCACACACCAACTCCTGATTTCAAAGGTAAGGTAGCTACATGCTTCCCTTTTAAATCTCCTTTGCCTCACCTCTATCACCCTTCTTGAACTTATAATCATTGGTTTAAACTCTTACACCTTTTTTTTAAGGTCACTCCTTAATCCATTACCCCCCTTCCCCCCCCCCCCCACACACACACTGCAGACTGTTCTTAAAAGGCAACTGCCTAATGCAATGAATGGTCTCTTTGCAGCGCCCATTCTCCTTCGCGTCTCTGCAACATCTAATCCCGCTGACCACAGCTTCCTTCTTGGAGCTCTTATCTGTGCTATTGTGAATCTGTAACCTCCTCCTCTAGTGTCTGATTGCACATTCTGTGTGTGAGTGGTTCTTCTTCCTCCTTTAAAATGTTGGAATTTCCAACATTCTGACTTCATTCTTTCTGGAAGATATCATCCATCCCAACAGTTTGAGTCGTTGTGTCTATGCAAGTGACTCGATTCCCATGTGCTGCCCACAGGCCAGGCTCTGCCTGTATCTGCAGGAGCACACTACTGCCTCCGGCTACATCAGGTCTGGCTTCCAAAGCTGAATTCCTAAAAATCGAGCCATCTCACCCTTCATCCTTAACATCCTCATTTCATGAAATATTCTCCTAGTCACTTGCTCCCAAACCGTGGATTTACATATTGATGATTCTTCTTTGCTTCCATGGACAAGAGAGTGCTAAGTTTTATTAATTTCTCTTTCCTTTAAATCTGTTTTTGTTGCCATTTCCTGAGTTAAAGCATCTATCATTTTTTTCTAGTAGGATGAAATTAAATACAAGTAGGCATCTGGTCTACCTAAGCACTCTTTGTTCCTCTAATGTGCCCGTATTTGGCCATCAGATTATTCTTCCCAGAACATTTCTGAGCATGCCACCCCTTTGTCCAAAAACTTCCCATGGCTGCTTAATGTCTAGAAGAGAAAGTTGAGAATTGTAACTTGTTACAATTTCACATGTTAATTTCAACTACCTTGTTGGCTTTACTGCCATCACCCTGCTGGAAATCTTATCTTGAAGTAAGCTGTTCTACTCACTGTTTCTAGACTGTCTTCCATACTTCCTAGCTCTGCACTCTTAAAAGATTCCACATCTTTCAACTTATCCTAAGGAGAGGCCACCGAGGGTCTGCCTCTTCCGCAGAGCTCATTCCCAGGTCTGCCCCTATGCATTTATCACAGCTACCTATTTGGCCACGGCTGCGTTTTTGTCTTACAAAATCGCATCTTGTTGAATTGTTTATTTTTGTGCTGTTTAACTTCTCACATGTTTCCATCATCAGGCCACACTCTGGGGGCAAGGACTACAATTTACACCATGTACTAAGCTTTAGGTTGAGGTTCCTAAAGTTAGGTAGACATGTGTATACCAGGTAGGCACTCAGTGGAATCAAGCACCCTGGCCAGGCCTCCAGGAGTTTGGCTCCCTGGCTCAAGAGCTGGAACTGGGCCTCACTTTGGAGAAGAAAGAAAAACCTGCCAACCCTTTCCGACCCAAACCAAAAAGCCAATGTAGAAGCCAGGCAGCTCCTGCCTGGGGCTGGCAGCCTTATGGCCAGCTGTACCTCAGGCCGGATGTGCTCTACTCCCCAGGGCAGCCCGAGCCTGAGACACCACACCTGTTCTGAACCCCAGCCTCATCCTGAGCCCATTCCTGCATCTGACAAAACTTCCCTTTTTGTTTGAATCCTGAGTCCACTCTCACCTGGTACTGTGACTACACATCTGCATATTCTCCCACCTGCAAGACTGTTTTGCTTATTCAGAACCCACACTTCACTTGTTTCCTTCCATGGCTCTTTTTGTTTAAGTCAACCTCCCCCTAATTTTCTAACAGCACAGAAAATAGTTATTCTATCATTTATTAGTACAAAATATTCACATTTTTCTGGATATTGTGACACTACAGAACTGAGCAACGCCTTGGCTTTCAGTAACTGAGCCACCGCAGAGGCAAACCCTGTAAGTGCTTCCTTTCTTCTTGGTATCTAGCTTGCGCCTTGCCCCTTGACCCTCAAGCATTTGGGGTTGGGGTGGGTAGGTGGGTGGGTAAGGGGTGGCAACAGCAGAAATATGCTGTTACATAAAGGAGGCCAGGCTCTATTCTCTATTGTAACTGTTTCAAAAAGATCTTGGTGGAAGGATCAGGGTGCAGAAGTGGAATTTTACAGAGGGGAAGCGGAGTGCTTGTGACTTATTTGTTATTGGGATGCCAGCCAAGGATCATAAAATGTGGAAATCATCACTGGCTACCTCTGGTGACAGACGCCCTGACTCAGAGAGGAGGCCTACTCGGCTGGGTGCCCTTTACCATGCTGACTCTGGCCTGGCCCCGCTATTCCCAGGCTACCTGCAGTTCCTGATGCCACCTCTCCACACCCCCCCCCACCCTGTTTTATTGTGATATAACTGACATTTAACATATGTAAGTTTAAGGTGTAAAAGTCATGATTTGATATATACTGCTAAATGATTACTATGATAGGGTTAGTTAGATCTCCACTCTCAAATAAATCTGAACATGTATTATACAGAATATGCCAAGTTACCAAGCTATCCCTAATTCTCTAAAGGCAGAAAATGGTTATTATATATGTTATGTGCGGTTACTAGATGTGTGTATACAAATGATTAATGTGCCTACAAATATGTACATATAAAACAGTGGTGTTATGCATCTTATAGTTGGACATTTGAAGATACAGTCTACTACCACCTTTATTCTATCGCTGAGGCTGTTTTGCTTTGGGAAGTAAAACATGAGAAGATAGAGCTAAAGGAAGACTTTAATCATCATTATGACTGCTTATACTTTTAAAAATCTCTAAAGTACAAGGAATAAAACACTGCTGGTGGTTGTGTAGCTTAATCTGAAAATAATTAAGGCAACAAAAGAACTTCTTCCAAGTACTACTTGAGAGGAGTTTTCTGGAATAAATCTTTCTGATGAGTTTTGCTCTCAGTGATTCAGTTCTATATATTCCAGTCCCCGAAGGCTGGAGACCTGCGAGGGAAGGCCCTGGCATTTTCTATGCTAACCTAAATGTTTCCTCTTATTTCTTTCTGTGTTCCCCTTCCTGATCTTCAATATCTGCTTCCACCCTTATTTGTTGTTTGTTTTCTTCACAAAAGGCAAATGTTCTGTGAACATTTTCAATTTTATTCCATGGCCTTGGTCCTTATTGGGGTCCCCCAGATCATTCCACACAAGCCTCGGTAGCCTCCCAAGGAAACACCTGACAAGAGGTCACATTCATATGACAGAGGGCAAAGCAAGTCAACCTAATGAAGAGCTGAAGTTTCTAGAAGTTTCTAGATTACTTCTGTCTTCTACAGGTCAAAATCAAACACCAACTACAGGATATACACTGTGGACTTATGTGGTTTTAAATGTTACTGACTCAAGTGATCATTAAAAAGTCACTTAAAGACAAATTAAAAAAATTTAGACATCATATCATACCACTGTATGTAATAAGAGTCATCCCTGCATATGGCAAATGAAAAGAAAAAACAGCTCCATAAAATTGACATGAAAATATATCCTATAGTCCAGAACTAAAGTTCATCGTTTGTAAAAAAAAGTCATTTGCCATTACTACAAA